ATTAAAAATTAAATAATATTCAAAGAAAGATAAGTAATTCCCCAAACTCATACCACTGGTAGTTGGCAGAGTTGGGATTGAATCCCAGGTATCTGGATCTGGAGTCTATGTTCCTAGCCTTTACATTATTCTGTCTCCATTGCTATTGTTTGTGAGAATTGATGTACATATTTGTGTCCATTCTATCTATATTCCTTATGATTTCAACCTTTATTGTTTGAGATGACATCGTCCTAGATTTTGAGACCTATTCATATTAAGATGCATTTGATTCATTACAGCCTTGATTTAAACTGTATGCAACAAGTTTTTCTGCAGAAAGTTTGTGTTCCTTTGCTTTAGAGATGTTTGTGTTTCTTTGACATATTTTAAAGAAATTATCCTCTGATCAATTTTGATGTTCAAAAGTAATTATTTGTTTATTTCCTTACAAAATAAACTTGTAGTAGATAGCAAAAAGAAGTGTGCCATTCTCTTAATAGTAGCAGAGTTTGGGGAGAGGGAACATAAGGGATAGGAGGTACTTTATTATGGTCATTTTGGACATACCATATAACTATAAACACCCACCATCATCAATATTAGTTTGTGATTAGGTTTTTAATTTAGGTAAAGTTCACGAGATACAATTAACCATTGTAAAGTGTATGTTGAATTCAGTGGCATTGTCAAGTGTTGTACAACCACCACCTCTATCTAGTCTCAAACATTTTCATGACCTCAAAAGGATACCCCATACCCATTAGCCGTCACTCCTCATTCCATTCTCTCACCGTCTCCTGGCAAACAGTAATCTGCTATCTCTATAGATTTCCCTATTCTGGATACTACATATAAACAGAATTGTATATAACTTTCTGTGTTTGGCTTCTTTTACTTAGCATGCTTTTGAAATTTACCATGTTGTAGCATATTTCCATACTTCAGTTCTTTTTATGACTGAGTAATATTCCACTGATGGATAATACTGTATTTTATTTATCCATTTATAAGTTGATGGACATTTGGCTTGTTTCTACCTTTTGACTATCATGAATAGTGCTGCTATGAACATTCACGTAGAAGTTTTTGTTTGAATCCTATTTTCAGGTGTTTTTCACCTAGGAGTAGAATTGTTGGGTCATATGATAACTCTAAATGTACTTTTTGAAAAACCACTGAACTGTTTTCCTTAGCATTTTAATTCCCACCAGCACTGTTCAAAGTTTCCAGTTTCTCTACATCCTAACCAACACGTATTACCTCCTTTAAAAAAACAACAAAAAATTATGGCCACCCTGGGTGTGAAATGGTATTGTGATACACTTTTAATTTTATGTATTTTAACTTTTATTCTGAAAAATAATAAATATGTTTTTTAGAAGTTTTAGCTATAAATGTGAAGTGGGTTTTTTTTTTTCAAGACTGATCAACTACAGATTGGAAAAGAAGTATTGGTTCAGTTTTGGGTATGAATCCCAGGTCTTTCATTCACTAGTTTTGTGATTTCAGAAAAAAATTTCTTAACTCTTGTGAATCTCAGTGTTCTCATTTCTAAAATGAGGACAGTATACACTGTACAATGTGTTATATGGGCAGTGGATAAGAGGTTATGAATTTCTATTATAGGAGTAGCCATCACACAGTGTGTGTTTGGTAAATGCTCATTTCCTTTTCTCCCTTTGTTCTGTTTTTACGCTAAATATTTTACTACCCTTATCTAGATTATCCACTGTCACTTTCCTAATAATGATGATCCAAATTTTCTCCTACCATATTATAATAGTCTCCTGTTTTCCCAGCCTCTATCCTCGCCTTGTGTCATTTTCTTCCTCTGTTGGAACACCTACTCTGTTGGAACACTGTTGCTGAGATCAGGACAGTGGCACTGGAAATGAAGAAGGCACAGATGTGCATGGTGTTCATATTAAATGTTTAAACTCACATGTATTCTTTCCTGGCCTGAGGTGTCTGCGTCACCAAAACAAGATTGTAAATCTTTGAGAACAGGGCTCCTTTCTTTTTTTTAATATACAGTGACTGATATAGTACTGAGTACTTAATAGAGACTAAACATATGAGAGTCTGGTTAATATAATTGTGTATATTCCCCTGAAAGTGAGATTTCAGTTTGGTTTATATTGTCACACTCATCAGTTGTGTGAACCAATTATAACTTCATACACATTTATGTTAAGCTTTTGGAATCGATCTGCAGATGTTCTGACAAGATTTATTTAACTTCATGGTTTTAAACCCTAGGTTTCCCTCTCCCCTCCCCTGCTGCTGAATAAATAATTTCAGACACAGAGGTCACTCTCTTTGGCATACTTTGCTTTCCAAGCTTGAAGCTGTGCTTTGAATTATGAAGAAATTTATTGTAAAGCATGCGTTCAGATTTCAAGTTTACAGTGAAATTCTACAGCCAACTAAACTTTTACAAAAGGATGTAGAAAGAATGTGTGCATATAAACTTGGCATTGGCAGCTGGACGGAACCTCACTGAAATAATTTTCTTTCCTTTTTTTTTTTTTTTTATTTTTTTGAGTTGGAGTCTCACTCTGTCACCCAGACTGGAGTGCAGTGGCCGCTCCTGGCCACTGCAGCCTCGACCTGCTGGGCTCCGGCCATCCTTCCGCCTCAGCCTTCCAAGTAGCCGGAACTACAGGTGCACTACCACGCCCGGCTAATTTTTTGATTTATTGTAGAGATGAGGTCTCACCAAATTGCCCAGGGAGGGTGGGGCACAGGGGTCATCGCTTTTGGTGAAAAATTGCTGAACATTCAGCACAGAGTGGGTAGGTGCACTCATAAATCAGCCATCATGAAATCAGCAAATGGGTTGAAAGAATCTAAAATTTAAAAATCACTGAAGCCGAATACAGCCTCTCACAACAATGCTAGGTGGTACACTGATGCCAGTGGGTTCCTCCAACACTTACCTTGTGAGGAAACCTGTAGTACAAGGGGCCTGCCCTCCAAAAGATATTCTGTTTTTGTTTGTTTGCTTTTGTTGGGATCCCTCTTTGTATATAAACTCTACCTCCTTCAGTCAAAGTACAGGATATTTTCATCATCCCAGAAAGCACCTTCTTGCCTTTTTGCAAAGTCCATCTGACTCCAGGCTTTCTAGGAAGATAGATCGATCTTTAAAAATTTTTAAGATTTTACTCTTTTGTCTCTTGGCTTACTTTGCTTCTCAAGAGAAATCGGCTGTCATCTTATCTTTGTGCCTCTATGTAATTCTCCCCCCGTATCTGCCTTTAAGATGTAATCTATGTCACTGGATTTTTGCAATTTGATTATGATGTGCCTTACTTTGGCGTTTTTGTGTGTTTATTCTGATGGGTTTTTTTTTTGGTGTATGCTTTCTCAATATGTGGGTTTATACTTTTCACCAAATTTGAAAAACATGTTTATTTTTCATTCTGGAATTCCAATTATATGTAAGGTAGAATGCTTGGTGCTGTCCCACAAGTCACTTAAATTATTATTTTTTTCTTTGCCTTTTTGTCTCTGTTTTTTTACTTTGGAAGGTTTCTGTTACCATGTCAACTAATTTTCTCTTTGGTAATATCTATTTTGTTGCTAAGCGCATGTAGAGAATTTTTCATTTCAGATAATGTAGTTTTTCAGCTCTAAAAGTTCCATTTAAAAAAATATTTCCCGTTTCTCTCCTTCACATTTTTCTGTTTTTCTTTTAATTATTGAGCATAATTACAGTAGTTGTTTAAAAGTTCCTGTCTATTAATTCCCTCATCTGACATTTCTGTTGAATGATTCCTAACTGCCCCTCCCCAGTTAGGGCTTACATTTTCCTTCTTATTGACATCAGTTTGGATGTTGTGAATGATATATTGCTGAATGCCTGGATTTTGTTGTCTTCCTTTAAAGAATATTTGTTTTGGCTGGGCTCGGTGGCTCAGCCTGTAATCCTGTGCTTAGGGAGGCCGAGGTGAGAGAATTGCCTGAACCCGCGGATTTGAGACCCGCCTGGGCGATTTGGCGAGACCTCATCTCTACAATAAATCAAAAATTAGCGGGGCGTGGTAGTGCGCGCCTGTAGTTCCAGCTACTTGGAAGGCTGAGGCAGAAGGACTGCAGGAGCCCCAGCAGGTCGAGGCTGCCGTGGCTGGGAGTGTGCCACTGCACTCCAGTCTGGGCGACAGAGTGAGAATCCAACTCAAAAAAAAAAAAAAGAATATTTGTTTTGGCAGGTAGTTACTTGTGGATCAGTTTGTATTCAGGCATTTTTAAAATTTTGGTAGAACAGGAGAGTAACCTTAACTTAAGGATTATTTTAGTTCTATTACTAAAGCATGCTTCTTCTAGGCTCTCCAGTGAATGCCCTCATGCTGAACAAGGTTTTCCTGAATGGTTAGGACTCATAAATCTCTAGCAGTTATTTGTTGCCTAGACTTGTGGGGTCTCACCCCATACATGTGTAGGTTAGTATTTAATCAGTATCTCAAAGGAGCCTACATCTATTTCTGGAATTATTTCTCTTCTGTGGTACTGTGGCCCATAGATTTCAGCTGCCTTATCCTCCCTGGGTTTTTTTTATTTTAATTTTTTAAAATTATTTTCTGTAACCTAAGATCCCTATGCTCTTATTGCGTTCCCTTTCCTGTACCATGGTCTGGAAAGTGTGATGAACAGAAAACCAGGACAATCACAGGTCTCTCCTCATTTGTGTACTTCTTTTTGCACTGCCCGTTGTTTGATACCTGAAAAGAATGATTTCGTAGATTTTGTCCAGATTTTTGGTTGCTTACAGTGGGAGGACAGGTTTTTTGTTTTTTTTTTAAACCAGTAGTTTCATCATGGGTGGACCCAGAAGTTATGAGAAATTTAATTCTAAAAGGTACATTGCAAGGCAGGCTATTTTTACATTACTTTTAATTAATGAAGCTTTATTAAATTTTAGTCTATAGTGCTTTTAATTTTAAAGATGGGTTTTTGTGATATGTGAGTAAACTCTCTAAAGCCTTGAAAATGGTGAATTTATTTTCTTTTTAAAGGTTTTTTCTTGTGGAGAGGTTATTCGTGTGAAGATCCTTGGAATTTTGGCTCTTATTGATGAAGGTGAAACAGATTGGAAATTAATTGCTATCAATGTGAATGATCCTGAAGCCTCAAAGTTTCATGGTGAGATTGTTTCTTTCTTGAAAACAAAAGTAAATTAGTATGTTATTGGAATTCTTAGAGCTTAAACTACAATTTAAATATTTGGGAGTTAAATTTATGTGTGTGTGTGTTTTTATTTTCTCCCCATGAAATATAAGGACAATTCAATACGATTTTGTCTGAGTTGTATCATTGCTAGGAGGAGTAGGAGAGAGGAAAAGATGTAGACAAATGATATTTTAAACTAAGAAAGTACATCCTATGGGTTTCCTTTCATTTCTTTATCCTCCCCACTTTTATTACTGCTCCTCCCTTTTGCTCCTTCCTTCCTTCCTTTCCTCCTTTCTTCTTTTCTTCCTTCCATGAGTTCAATGGCCCAATTGCTGTTGGGTTTTCTTGTGAGTTTTGAGTGAAAGCATCCTTTGGCTAGGAGTAAAAGCACATAATACTGGCATTTTTACCTTGAAATCTTTTTTGCAAATGTAACTAACAAGAGAAAACTAAGGAGGGAGTGTTCATCAGTGATAAAGCTATTTCTATACCTAGTTTTTGTCTTGTCTTATACAAATGAACTGCCCTCTAATGAAATTTTGGTATCCCAGAAATTTAAGTTCTGGAAATACTTTGGCATGATTTGGAGTTGATTTTCTTTAGAGTCAGATATACTTCATTTTGAGTTCTGGCTATGTTATTTCCTAGATGAGTGACTTTGTGTAGATTGTTTCTGAATTTCGCTTTGCTCATCTATAAAGGAAGATTATTATGTCTACTTATAAGGTTGTTGGGCGTATAAAAGATGATTGCTTTAAAGTATCTGGTTTTTATATACTAAGTGTTAAAATATATGGCAACTATTATTCTTTGACCAGTTTTTCCCCCATTTTTTTTTTTTTTTTTGTTTCAGTTTCATCCTTATTCAGGATCCTGGTTCTTTTTGAACCTCAATTCCTTTTTTTTTTTTGAGTTGAAGTCTCACTCTGTCGCCTGGACTGGAGTGCAGTGGCTGCTCCCGGCCACCGCAGCCTCGAACCTGCTGGGCTTTGGCAATCCTTCCGCCTCAGCCTTCTGAGTAGCCGGAATTACAGGCGTGCGCTACCACACCCGGCTGATTTTTTGATTTATTGTAGAGATGAGGTCTCGCCTGCCCAGGCGGATCTCGAACCCGCGGGCTCAGGCAATCCACTCACCTCAGCCTCCCAAAGGCACGAGATTACAGGCTGAGCCACCGAGCCCGGCTTGAACCTCAATTCTAAACTGGAAATTATACCATTTCTAAGATGACTGAACCTCATTAGCACTCATTGTATTAACCACTCCTAGGTTACTTACATAAAAAGCCTTTTCTCGCACATGAAACAGAAAAGGAATTTTTTTCTTTTCTTTTTTTCCTTTTTTGGCCATTTTTGGATATAATTGAGAAAGGAAGAGATCTGATGGGGTGAAGTGCACATAACCTCAGGGTCAAAACTAAAACGTGAAAACTGCACTTAAAATGAGCCTTAAGTCTATAAACCATATATATTTCTTATCTATCTCATTATTTTATCCTGGTTTTGAATATTTTTATGTTTCTCATACATATATATATAAGAATAGTAAATAAATTTCATCCAGTTTTTAAAAATTTTTAGTGCCACAGCAAGCTAAAACAAACCATCCAATAATTTATTTGTGATCTGCCACACCAAAGTCATGAAACTCTAGTAAGGGATACCCTTTAAACTGGAGAAACTGAGTACCTGAATGAAACTAGTTTTTAGGGAAAATTAGCTCATCACTGTTTTATAGATATTACTGTTCTTAATTTAGAAGATGCTCTGAAATTAAAATAACATACCCAAATTTATGTCTAGTAAATTGTACATGATTTGAACTCACTTCTGTCTGATTGTAAAAAGTGAGTTGTATTTTAGTAGTACTATACTGACTGATATATTGTTCATCTGTAGTACTATTCTGAGCAACTCACACTTGATTCTAATTATTTATAGTTTTTGTAACTAGCACTGTTGAAGCCAGGTCACGTAAGCCTGAGTACCTCACTCCTTCTTGAGCTTCCTAAGCCTTAGAATGAATAATTTTAATTTTATTCATTGTATTTCTGTTGTATACTCAGAATAGAGATGACTTTGCATTTTGGACATCTTTCTAAACTCCTTTTGTTTTTGCTTATATGAAGAGACATGCAGAAGTACTAAAGCCAGTTGCTGATTTAGGTTGACAAGAAATTCTTAGAATTGAATAATTAAATCAAGATATTATTGGTTTTGGGGAAAAGGACATTTTTTATTCCACTAAAAGTGAATACATATTATTTTCATCATGAAATATCTAACAATTATTCTTCAAATGTATTTTTAAAATTCTAAAATTAAAAGACTGGTTGATATTATTGACATGTTTTGCTCTGAAATGATATGTGTTTTGTATTTATTTCCAGAATAAGTAAAATATATAGGGAAAATGGAAATTGTTCATTTAAAGGATATTTGTATATATTGTTCACACCTTAAGTACTTTTCTTCTGTATCTGGATTTTGTAAAATAAGTTTGGTAGTTTTAAGAGTTTTAAGTTTTTTTCTCATTCCTTTAGCCTTCATATTATTGTTAATATATTCCACATATCTTCATTGGATTTTCTTCTTTCTTCTCCCTTACTTTATAGGCACCCAAGGAAAATAGATGTAGGCACAAATTGAAAGGCAGAAGAAATTATAATATAATTTTTTTTTAAAGTCATATTATGCTTAGTCATAATGTGATTTTTAAAAATCATTTAATAATAGCTTACCCTATATAGCAGCTTATTTTTTTTCTTACTTAAAATTCAAATTTTGACCTATGCAAATATTTATGGACAGAAATCATTACTGATCAGAATTTTTCTCCTTAGCTCCTTAGTTTGGTGTGCTGTTTTATGTTTTCTTTAGAGTCTGTAAGAGGGGAAGGCTGGGGTACTGAGTGAGACTCTGAAATGTTCAGTAATTGCAGGTGTTAAAAGCTTCCTAAATTTGTGAAGAACTTTTTAAAAAGTTTTTTCTAAAGAGATTGTTTATATGAAGTAATTACAATATTTAATGGTTTTTCTAGTGTATCATAATAATTAATTCATCTTCTAAAGTTACCTAACTCATAATTTGAGAAGAGTTTAAGTATTGTTATTTTATATGATGATACAGGTTAAAAATAGAACCTTATCAGGGGCGAGCAGGCCTCAGAAATAGGAGAATTAGCTTCATAGTTTTGAGATTAGATGAGATGCCTTTTATGAAAACTAATAATTTGATTGTAGTAAGGTAATAGATATTTGGACTCATATGATTAAGTCATTATTAGCTAATAGGTATTAAAATTTTTGATTTTTTTTTTTACAATTTTTGAAAAATTATCTTTAATCAACAATATTTAATCTTAAATCAAGCGACTTAAAACATTTTTGGTGTGTCTTTCTTCTTTCTAAAATCACAAAAACAGGATTTTAGGTGGCATTTCTTAAATTATAAAATGAATCTATCCTTTGAAATAAAAACTCAGAAGTATAAAATGAAAGCTAAAGTTCTCTTTTTCCCATGTGTTTTTAGTTCTTTTGAGTGTCTGCTTCTATTCTACAGTATTATTATATAAATATTATTCACCTAGCTTATCATACTATTTATTAAATGATCAATTTTGGACAGACTGTTCTCTGAGCCTGCTGTGCAGCTATTTTTGTTTTCATCATCCTCCTGGGTTAGTTCTACTCTTCTTTAAATTCTGTCATTCCCTCTTCTTTGTTTTCCTTTTTCATTATTGACTGGTGTACGTTTTTCCATGCAGCAAATTTAAATATAAATTGCTGCATATGAATTAGAATTTCTACCGCAAGGAGTAAGTGATTTTTATGACAATTTAAACTTTTGGCATCTACCCTTCTTGGCATTTTAATAGACAGATAATTAAGAAAAAAGATGAAAAACTTTTAGGCAAGGTCAACTATCTGGTAATTTTTTCTAAAATATAGTATTCTGGACATGTGTGTAATACAGACATTTATAGAGTTTTTTTAATGTTCTATATTTCATTGTTATTTAGACTTTTTTTTTTTTTTTTTTTGAGTTGGAGTCTCACTCTGTCGCCCAGACTGGAGTGCAGTGGCCGCTCTCGGCCACTGCAGCCTCGACCTGCTGGGCTCCAGCGATCTTCCGCCTCAGCCTTCCAAGTAGCTGGAATTATAGGCACGCGCTACCACGCCGGCTGATTTTTTGATTTATTGTAGAGATGAGGTCTCGCTGCCCAGGCGGGTCTCGAACCCACGGGCTCAGGCAATCCACTCACCTCAGCCTCCCAAAGGCGCGGGATTACAGGCTGAGCCACCGAGCCCGGCTCTATTTAGACATTTAAAAATTAAATGTGTATTAATTTCCACTACCTTATGAAAAGGAAGCTGTTATTTTACATGGTTATTCAAATTTTTCCTTTTTTGAAAATAAAGAAATCTTTTTTAGTTTATAGACAGTATGTTCCTACCTACATATATATGTATATATATATATATTTTTTTTTTTTTTCTTTTTACCCTATTAATATGGACATATTTAAGTTGTGACTCTTCAAAGAAGTTTTGGGGTTGTTTCATTTGTGATAAAATAATTTTTTGTCCTATTGAACATATATGCAGACTTGATAAACTATAATGTTGTTCTAATATTTATAGTTTTTACTTTGACATAACTGAACTAAAACTAACCATTACTAGTTTAGCATGTTTCAGTTACTTAAAAAACTGTTGTTTCTAGCTATATATCTATAATTTTAACACTGCTTTAAATCTTCTAGTTTTGCCTTTTGAAACTGGAGTAGCCACCACACAAATATAAAAAAAAAAGGTCTAAACATTTGAAACCAAATTCCTTGTACTCTCTGATACAAAATTGGTCACTTTGGCAGGCTCATTGACACTTGGAGAGCACTAAGACCATTTTATGCACTGTAATTAGATTTCAGGCCCTAATGCTCTTAATGGTACCTTAATGGCCTGAAAG